TATATATATATATATATATATTAATTAAGTGGTCTGAGCCAATAATGAAGAGGTTGTAAGCAAGTGAGGGTGCAACTTACATTGGACTAAGTGGGAAACAAGTTAAATATGGGAAAGGCCACTTTTGGTGATGGTGATGATAAAGCATTAAGAGATCAATTCTCCCAACTTTTATTCTTTTTCCTATTTTTATATTTCTACCCAATTTAAATATACAACTTATGCTTAATTACCTTTCAAAGTTAATTATTTGAATAAAATTTCGAATTAATTTCTTATTAAGAGCTTTTCTTTAAAAAATAAAATAAAATAATTATTTTTTTATTTTTTTATCTATCATATTTTATCTGTATGTTCGATAACTCGAGATGTTAAGATTTCTTTTACTTCTCTTTAACCGAACAAAGAGGCTATATACAATTTTAGCGAATCATCATAACCAAAAAGTTGGTTGGTTTTCTTCATAAATATACACTCTAGGTGTATCCTTCAATGAATCTATACTATCATATTGCACAAAGATCATTAATGCCGGGTCACAAATTCATTGCACTCATGACTCTGATTCTGGCTAGCCATGTTAGCTCTTTGTATATAATCATGATCAACTTAATGCTTCGTCCTCGTTTCATGAAAAGGAAATTGGCCAATTTGACAATTTGGCACTTTTACCATTTCCATGGAATCGATGACTAGAGAGTCATGAGTCTAGTCTTCTTACTTTGTATGAACTTGAATGATACGTTTGGTACCACCAGCTGATAGTGACTTGGTGGAATTGTATAGCCTATATGTAGACTTCCTCATTCACCCATAATCTACACTTTTGTTTTTTTTTTTTACTTACTCTATCTTAATTTATGTATTATTTGTTTGTAAGAAAATGTTTTTGAAATTACTTAATCCTTAAGGTCCAATGACACTCGTCATTTAAGAGGTGTATTCCCTCTTTTCTTAGACAGCTTTTAAATTTGTCTCATGTCAAAATATTTTTTTAAAAAAATATTTTCAAAATTATTTTTAAAAAGTTGTTTATTGAAAAGTTAGCTTTATATTTCTGGTACGAATTCAAAGAATCAATGCTCCAATCAGAACGTACAATTAGGAAAAGGGACAGGTGTAGAATGTAATAATGGGTTTGGTAAATTTTTCTTCTTTCGGTGGAATATGAATTTCAAAGCTTTTTTAACGGGATCGAAGGGAATGATTCTATAATTTGTGCATTGTAATTTTGGAGACGGCATACCCAAACTCATTTTTTTAGCGACATTTAAGGATAGTCCTTAATATATGCATATATATTTTTTTTATCATTAAGGATAGTCCTTAATATTAATTTCTCATAACCCAACTCTATCTCATCTCCTCAATTAAGTTTGGTTTCATGGTTTGTCCAATCATTTTGCCAAATTGTTAGATTCTTGACAATGATGATATGGGCTTCAGATTTGTACCATTTATTTTAAATTTCAAAAAAAAAAAAGAAAAAGAAAAAGAAATAATGTACTTAGGAATTATTACAGTAGTAGAATACAAAACAGAAATAATCTATACAAAAAAGAATATCCTCATGTTAACAACAAATTAACACAGACAAGGAAATGAGCTAAGCATTTCGTGACTTGAGTTGGGGTTGCCTCGAGACTAATCATAATTGGGTCACCTTAACTCAATTTTAGTGGGTTATGAGTGAACTCTGTGTTAACTTGCTTTTTAATTTTTAAAAAAAATTATTTTTAGGTCCACACGTTTGCATTTTACTTGTAATTTATATATAATAAATTAATTTAAAAATGGGTCAACTTGTCCTTTCGGCCTAACTCTATGATTGTAAATAAATGGGTCTTTTGGTTAACACAAACTACTCTAACAAGTGTATAAAGTTAGGTACAAGTCGAGCTCAATTTTGCTATTTTAACAACGACAAAAAAAACATGCTGAAGCATAGGCATTGAAACATGGAAATTAAAACATGGGATGTTCATTCAATAAAAATACCATGCCTTAATTTATATCACCATTGGCATTAAGTTGCATAATAAAATGAAATATTTTTATATTCTAAATTTAACTCATCTAATTTATATAACATGTAATTGAAATTAAGATTCTTATTTAAAAAAAAATTATTATTAAATTAATTAAATCATTAACATCATCATTAAAATTATTAAACTATTTAATCATAAAAAATGACATAACTTAAGGTATAAAATAAACAAGGATTCTCAATTATACACCTTGTATTATATCAATTATAAAATAAAAATTATTTAATAAAAAATTTATTTTTATTTAATAATTAAAATTATATAATTCAAAATCATTTATATTATATAATATGTTTTTTATAAAATAAATAACAATCCATTCATTTATAATTTATAGTGCACGTATTATGAATAACTTTTTCGAGTAAATAAAGGTATTGAAATAATTGAAGAAATAATAATAAAAATAATAAAATTCAACAATATTGATTAAGTTCAGAAAGAGACAAAGGGCGTGAAAATGAAAAGAAATAAAGAGGTCGGTTCCTTGCATCCAAAGCATCTCTTTCAGGTTCGGACCCAGGTTTCGACCTAGGTTCGGATGTAAAGACTTTGCGAGGATAAGAACGGCTTCTCTCTCTCTCTCTCATACAAACATCCCCTAATTCTCTCGCTCGCCGCCCTTCACTTCCCTCTGCCTTAGTTTTCTTGCGACAGATACTCTTGCCCGTAGTTTTTGCTCTCTTAAAAACCGACGCATTCTCTCTTTCTGTCGCCGGCGACTAAAACAGACTACTCTGTGTTTCGGTTTTGGAATGGCGATCGAAAATCAAGAAACCACTGTCCGGGAAATCAAGCCGAAGAACAGGAGAATCATGGTATCTAACTGCTTTATTTGTCCATTTATTTTTATTTTTTTTGACTTTTAACGCGACTTTCGCATTGTTTGAACCTTTTTTTCCATCTGGGTTTGGCTTAAAATGTTCTGATTGCTTTGTTTCTCGACAATGCTGTTGACAATCCTTTCTGGGTTTTTTTTAGGGAGCTGGTGGTCCTGAGGACGAGGACAATCGGTGGCCGCCATGGTTGAAGCCCCTGCTGAGAGAGCATTTCTTTGTCCAATGCAAGCTACATGCCGATTCTCACAAGAGCGAATGCAATATGTACTGTTTGGATTGTATGGATGGAGCTCTCTGTTCTCTCTGCCTCGCTCATCACAAGGATCATCGCGCTATTCAGGTTTGATAACTGCCTTTGAATTGTACAATTCCTCTCGATTTTGTCCATTTTGAACTCTGGGTTTGGTTTTGTTTTTTTCAAAATTGGAAGTTCATTCTGTTTCTTTTATATTTTCTTCGTTTTCTTTTAGCTATCAAATTTGGGGCATTTCCATTTGTGGGATAATGGAATTCCATGTTTTTAATCCCCTTTCGGCATTTGGGTTCCAGTGTTAGGAATCTGCTCTTTCTCGATTAAGTCTGTTTTGAAATTTAACGAAACCGTTTTTCCTTAATGCATCTCCGCTAATTGAACTTATCAAGCTCTCATTTTTCTTCTTTTACATAACGTACAAGTCCCAGGGCATTTTACCAAAATTATAAGATACCCCCTTTTTTTGCCCTTCAGGCATAGATTTCCAGATCTACCACTGAATGCTGCAGATTTTTGCTCCACTGTTCTGACACACAAGAATCACAGCGAATCCTTTTCTTTTCTTTTTTTTTTGTTTTATTCATGAATTTGGTTTACAAATGATTCAGCATTCTTTTGATAGATACTAAAGTTCACAAATTTCACATGGGTCTGTGCTGTCCTTTGTCATTCATCACTAAAATAGATAATCATCGGTAATTTGTGTTTTACCAAACTCATCATGCTCTCTTTTTGACAGATAAGGAGGTCTTCATACCATGATGTGATCAGGGTATCTGAAATCCAGAAGGTGCTGGATATATCTGGTGTCCAGACATATGTCATTAACAGCGCCAAGGTGGTCTTCTTGAATGAGAGACCGCAGCCTAGGCCTGGGAAAGGTGTCACAAATACCTGTGAGGTCTGTGACCGCAGCCTTGTGGATTCCTTCCGCTTCTGCTCTCTTGGATGCAAGGTAGCCTCATTTCTTGTGTTTAGTTTTTCATCTTCTTAGGTGGGGATCAGAGTATTGCTGTTTGGTTGCTGAGAAAGTGGTTGCCTTGTTTTTTACGTTTATGATTGTGTTGACTTTTTCTATATTGCCCTGGAAAATATCCAGGGCAGGCAATGTGAAGCAACAGTTGCTCATTTCCTTCTAAGCCACAAATTAAATTCCATAATAATCTCTCTGTTAATTGTTATTTAGTTACAAATGTTTGCATTTGTTTGTTTCCCCTAATTGCAATGCTTGATTGAATTACAGTTACTGACAAATCTCCTTACTATTGAATGCAGATTGCTGGGACATCAAAGGGTTTCCAAAAGAAGAAGCACCGGCTCGCCATGGCATCAGATTCTGAGGATTCATACAGCAGCAGCATCCATGGCAAGGTGAAAAACAACAACAAAGAAAACAACAACAGCAACAAAATGCAGAGCTTCAGTCCCTCAACACCCCCTCCAACCCCAGCAAATTACCGAAGTGCCAAGCGTAGAAAGGGAATTCCCCACAGAGCCCCCATGGGAGGACTAATCATAGAATATTAGTGAGCAAATAGTGTCTTTTATGTTTTATCATAGAATATACACAAAGTAGCTGTCGCAACAATGCCTCCTTTCCTTGACCCAGAAAAGAAGGGTTGGCTGTGTTACATCCTCCAAGTTTTTAGTATTGTAAATATAGATGAAAAATAAAAAAATGGAAAAGTGGGGAATAGTCCAAAAGGTAAAGGCCTTGATGGCAATAAGGTGTTAGTTCTAAAATATATAGGAGCGTTGTTCTAGTTTTGTAACGGTGTACTAAGTTTTGCAAAGATGTAAATAGTGTTTGAATGGTTAAGAGGAAGTAGTGGAATGAATGTTTATGAATATGGAATGAAAATAAAGGGTGTTTCCGCTTCTATCTTTTGTATCGGTATGATTTTTCTTTATTTTTTCAATAATGCAGTAGTTTTTTTATTAATCTTTTAATATCTGATAATCATAATAAATCTCGATATATAATAATCACATTAAATCTTGATTAATTTAAAAATAAATTATATCAAAACTCATAAAAAAGTTTTTTCAACGTTTATTTTTTCGTTTATAAAATTCAAGTTTTGAAATTTGTGATTACTTCACTCAAATTAATAAATTGTTAATATAATGCTATAATTATTATGTTACCCATCATAAAATTTACAATTTTAAGTGATTTTGTAATTATAAAAAGAATGTATGGGATTGGTTTCCATTTATGGTAGGTTGTTAACGAAGGGTGGAGATTAGATTCCAAGATCGGTGGGGTCCACGATAGAGCGGCACGTGTGGGACGGGGTTAAATGTTGGTTTTGTCTGGTATTACACGTGTGAAGGGGTGTAGGAGGCAGTTGGGTGGGGGCAGTGGGTATGAGCCAGACAGACGGTGTCCTGATTCAAGGAATCAGAAAGTCGGTCAGGTCAGCCGCCCTTATGTTCTGCAACTTGCAACGATTTCACAATGTGGATGATTCCCTGATCAATGTCAATCCTTTTGATTTATTTTTATTCTTAATCTACAGTTGAGTTTTTTTTAAAGCTAAATATCAAATTTAGTTTTTTAATTTTTAATTATAAATAATTTTTATTTTTAACTTTTTTTTTTAACTTTTTTTTTATCCTCTAATCATGAAAATTTTATTATTTTATCGTTTTGTAAGTTTGGTCCATTAAGTATGTTCCGTGGGCATTTTTTTGATCCTTAAATTTTTACTTTATGTACATTTTTTGTTCTTAATTTAAACTAATATATATTACATATTTTTAATTTTTGAACTTTTTTTTTTGCGTTTAAATTATTTAAAAAATTAATTAGATAGATTTAATGAATAAATAGATGAAAAGAAAAATATATATATTCATAATTGACAACAAAAAAAAAAGTATATGAGCTAATATTGTTTAAAATTAGAATTTTAGGTGTAATTTTCACATTAAACCCTGCATAGCCTCTGCTTAGGCAAGTGGGTTTTCAGTGCTTTTTATTTTCCTACAAAATGTGGACCCACCTTCGGCTATCGTTTTTTGACCGCTAATTTTGTTGGAATAGACGGTGATTATAGGGGATTGATAGCAGTACAGACTTGTTGACATTTATATGCCCCGGAAATCCGTAACATTTGTTTCTCAAAAACGAAACCAAAAGGCACCTGATCCTCACGCTAACAGTTATAAGTCGGATCGTAGAATCTATCATTTCAATTTAGGAGTTGAGGTCTAAATTCTCTATTCGTAAATGTAAACTAGTTCAAAAAAAAAAAAAATCGACACCCAAAAAAAAAGAAATTTCATATCATTTCATAGATGTTTATATCATATAATATGTCAGTCCGATTAATTGATTCACCTTTATTTTAAAAAAAGAGTAAAATACTCAAATTTATCTTTAAAGTATAGTGATAGGAACGGATCCACTTCAAGTAAAAAATAAAAATAAATTCACTTATAAAATTTTTGACTTGGATAAATTACTTCAAATTTAACATGTGATATTATCTAACATCAACAATTTATTAATTCGTTAACGTATTGCTGATGTCAAATTAATAGATTGTTGATGTTAAATAATGTTACACGTTAATTTCGGGATGATTTCGAAAACTTTGTGGGAGGATTTGTTTCTATTTTTTATTGAGGTGAATCCATCCCTATCACTATATTTTGGGGGTAGATTTGAATATTCTACTTTTAAAAAAAGATTAATTAATTCACAAATTTATAAAATTTTATTAACATTTATTTTAAAATTTATTTTTTTTGGTACTAATCTATCGGTGTCTGGCAACCACATTAAATCCTGATTAATTCAGAAGTAAATCACGTCGAACCCCATTTAAGTGGAAATTCTCTTAGCGTCTGCTTCTCTATTCACAAAACTCTAAATTTGAAATCTTACTTAAAGAAAACTAAATTCCTTCCATTTAAACCAACAAGTAATTGATAAATTTTATTTTATTTTATTTTTTAAGTAATTAGTACATTTCTAAATTAACATTTACATATTTTAAAATTAATTTATATTGAATAATTTTAAAATATATTTTTATAGGAATATATTTTTATATCAATTTAATATATTTAAAAAAATAATTTTTATCAATAACTTAAATAATAATTCAGTAATAATTTCTTTTGTTAAAAATAAAAAAAATTAAATTTAAATCACATGACATATAAATAAGATAAAATAAAAAATAAAAAATATCTCTCATTAAATAATTAAAGTAAAAAATTCCTATAAATACTAACTTTAAAACTTGAATTATAAATTTTACTAAGAAAATAAAGTGCTAATCTAATATAACTGGAGTTTTTAATAGAAATTTTATTGAAAAGAAAAATTATTATAAAAGTACTATTTTTGTAAATAAAAATAAAAATAATAAAATATAAATAATACATTAATTCATTAAATTTTAAATAAAAAATTCTCGTAAAAACATCAATTCGATATTTTTAAAATTTGTAATAAAATATTAACTTATAAAAAATTATAATATTTTTTTTTATAAATTATAATATTTGATGTAATTTAATCTTTTAAAATTTAAAAACACTTTCTACCAATTGTACCAAGATATAGGACGCCATTGTCTTGTCCTATGTTCTTTACCTCTTAAATTGCTTTCCAAAGTAGAGAAGCTATAGTTATCACAATTTTAACGTGGCGAAACTGCTGTTGTACACGTGACTTGCCTGGTGTTAATTCCATGTCCTTTGCCGGCCACTTTCTTACTTTACTCCTTGCTTTTTATATTTTACTAATATTACCGACATGATTCAGCAATAAAGATTTGGATTTCAGCGACATGCCTCGCAGTACTGAAAAAAATAAACTCTCTTTTCACCACTTTTTTCAATTTTCATCAAATTAAACACATGGTAAATCTTGTACTTGGACTAAAAGATTATTATTTTTTTGAATATGAAAATTTCTTTTTAAGTAATAAATGAGAATAAAACTCTCAATTATTTGGTGAATTAATTGGTCTAAGGGGTTGGTTTGAACTAAAAAATTAATTGAGTATAATTTTTTTATAAAATATATATTCTTAACTTTAAATATTAATTTCAAATTATTTTCCTTTAAGTTTGTACTAATTTTTCAAAAAAAAAAAACATTATAAATCTTAACAAGAGAGCTTATCATCATTATAATTATAATTAGTTTTCTATATGAAAACCAAAATAAATAAAGGAATATGAATTTTGATGTATAACTCATGTGACCACAATATAAACTTTTTGCTCACACCATCAGGGTTCGAACCCCCTTACTCCATTTTCCCTCTCTTTTCCCTTACTTTCAATTCCCTTTGTAAAATATATATATATATATAGGAATATAATAACGAAAATAATGAAAAGAAAATTCTAAAACATGAAACCATTCATGCTTGGAGAAAAAGAAAGGGAGAAGACTCTGGACAAAGACACATAAGCAACAATGGATGATTGCCCATTTTTCTGAAGTACTTCAGGTATTTGTGATGAATGTTACGCCATGTGCTCGTGACAGTGCCAGCACTTATATAAACACTCAACGCGTCGTAAATGTGTTTTACACGTGTTGAATTTGTACTGGCTATAATATTTATTCTCTTTTTTTTTTTTTGAAAATGGCTATAATATTTATTCTCGAATTCAAAACCTAATTAAAAACGCCTCTAATTGTACTTTAAAAAAAAATGTAGGAAAATTGCAACCTTGCTACACTACATCCTAGTATAATAGGACATGGACCCTTACCTATGTTGGAAATAAGAATTTCAAACTCCAAATCTGAACAAGGTGATTTTATAATAATAATAAATAAATAAATAATATATTTTTTTATTATTCATGCTTTGAATAAAATTAATAAGATTTGTTAGTCACAGTCCACAATTACTTAATTTAAAGGAATTAGATAAGTTAGCAATTACATTAGTTATTCCTGATAGGATGACTTGCTTTTTAATCGGAGAGAAATGAATTTTAACACCTAAAAACTGGGACTAGAATATTAAATTATTCTTGATTAATTAGATCTTAATTAACATAATCTTAGTAGGATGTGGTGCTAGCCTAGTAGGATGTCACTAAGGGCTCAAAAGCAAGTGCTTGAGGATGTGGATGGATATAATCTCCCTTTACCTTATTCAACTTTGCTTTCTATATTTTCATTTGGCTTCTTCTTCTGATGTTCTGCCTATGTATATTTTCTCCACATCCCTCTCAGAGAACAAGCTTTGCATTAACATATGAAATGTCTGCTCTATCAGTAATGCCTTTTTTCTTTTCTATTCTGCACCATTCATCTGTCCTCAATGCAATAAATTAAATACACATCAAAATAGGCTCAAATGAATGTGGACCCCATTTTCATTAATTTGCCCAAAACATGATGTCAATACTTCACTAACCCCTATTGGCCTTATCTGATATCTTATTGATGCTTTAAAACAGATGGATCTTTTTCATGCATCCTGTATATGTATCATGCCTATACCATGGTCAGGACCATCCTACGTTTCACATTCATTGGTTAACATTTCTAGCAAAAACTTGGTTTTAGCCCTTCATCTTATTAAGTTTGAAGGTTTTAGTCCATTTATCTTATGTTATGACACTTTTAACCTCTTACTTTACTAGATTTGAAGGTTTTAACCTCTCACCAATTAAAATCGAAGAAAATAGCCTTCACTTTATATTGATTGTTAACTCTGTTAGCTGAAAGTAAGTTTTTGTCAACTAACAATCAACCAATAATCAATTAACAAAATTAACGAAATATTATAAAATCAGTTCTTTTAATTCTGTTAGTTGAAAGAAAGTTTTTGTCAGTTAACAATCAGTTAACAATCAATGAATAGTCAAATAATAGAATTAACAGTCAGTTAACAAAACTAACAAAATTTTACAAAGTGAGGGTTATTTTTTTTTTTAATTTTAATAAATGAAGGGTTAAAAGTATCATAATATAAAATGAGAGGTTAAACCTATAAATCTAATAAGGTGAGGAATTAAAAGTATCATAATATAAAGTGAAAGACTAAAACCTTCAAATTTAATAAGATGAGGGGGTCAAACTAAACTTTTACCAACATTTCTTGGGTCAGATAACCAACAATACCTAATTTTCTATAAAAAATAAACAATATTTCCATATGACTTTTCTAGATCATAAATCTTCTTTTTAAAACGAGGTATGTGTCTATATAGACATAGATATATCTTACTGCTTTCTTGACAAGTGTTTTTGACACCAATCCCACCATCTTTAAATCCAAATGCTCTTCTCAGTAATTTCAACATATAATTTTTTTAAAAAATCTTATTTTAAAGTAAGATATCTAACAAGATAATGTAGCAAAAAATATTTCATTTTAAAAAAATAAATACTCAAAATTACCAATACAGTGTGCAAATTCTAATTAAGAACTTAAGAAAAACTTGGGGAGGGGGTTGTTTATAGATATGTGTGCACATCTTATGCCTATTTGAGGCCAAAGTCAAATGGAGATGTGAGCAGATAAGGTATATGACTTTTCAATTCTCGTAGACCATTAATTGATGTTTATCTGTCTTTCTTCTAGAAATGCCAAATTTTGTTTGAAATTTTCGCCTATGATCCCTACCCAAAATTGTCTGTGGGATGGGGTCAGTATGGGAGAAAAAAATTCGTTATGGAACCCAAGTTGGAGTCTTGAACCACAGGGGGCTTCTCTAAAGTAAACTTTAACCCTTTTGCAAATTGTATATGGATTCAAAAGAGTAGTTCCAAATTAAAGTGTTTCCATTATTTGGATTTGGATGCTTTTTGGGTTCTATATATGAAATCACTTGGGATATTATTAGGAAGCCAATACATATCTGACCCAAGAGAGCCTGCTATAGTCATCACCATATATAAATTATTCATTAAGTTTAATTAGTGGGGCTAGAATAGATTGGCCCTAAATAATCTATTCTTAGCTAGCTTGATTAAACATGACGAAACATATATGTTGACATATTTGGCTAGCTAGATTAATATAAACCATGCATTCATCTTTTGATTATAAATGCCATAAATTTCCACCTTGCCCTTGTGGGTCTTTTTGGTAACATCGACATGATAATATGATGTCTATTATCATTGTCAGAAGGGAAAAAAAATATTTCAATATCATTTTCTTGACTTTTGGAGAAGAGTTTTCAGTTAGATTAATGAATGTGAATAATGAATCAGGTTGATTTTTCAAGCAACACCCATAGTGTATATATATATATATATATATATATCTTCCAATGTCAAACCCAAACCCTCTATATAGAATTCATTGCTTGTAGAAGAAACAGGAAAGTCTTGTTAAATTGTAAGAAGACAGGTGGAGCAAATTCCAAATATTAGGGTTGAACAAGAAATTCAGAACATGTTAATTCTGACTCAATTAAATTACGGAGTGAAGGAAATTCAAAAGTGGCATTAATAATGAAAGATTTAAGCTGGAATTTCCCCAAGGAGATATAGACATTCCTTGGTTGCATTCAATATCCATCCTACACCTGCTTAGTTTGAGTTTGAACCCAGTAAAATTTTCTTCTCTGAAGATCATTTGGACCTAATTAAAGTCCAGTAAGAGCCTCCAAGCCCTTGAATAGTTCTTTTAAAAAGATCCAACCCAACAAACTAAAATTGGTAATAGAGTCTAAAACAGGAAAGGGATTCTAATTCAGAACTTTGGTCTTAGCATTTTTTTTAGGGCTGTGAAAACCCAAGATTCATGAGACTGGTCTATCCACCAAAACAATTTATGGATGAATTTGGATATGTTTTCAGGCTTAAGACTGTCAGGGAAACCCAATTTACTAAATTTTCAAGTATTACAATCATACCATTATGGGTGCCCTCTTATGTGTAACCCTGTTGGTATCTTCTGAATATTTCCTCAGTTTTGGCATTCCTGAAGGCATAGCAGCCCATCAAGTATACCAATTTCAATGCTACTAATGTTATGAGTAGTATGATATCTGCTCTTCTCCATTCTATCTTCAAATTGGCAAGTAATCCTGCCTTGCATGAATCGCAGTTGTAGCAGAGTTGGTTTTGGTCGTTGCTCCATCGCGAGCAGTCCATGTCCGCTCCCGTGTTGATGGGGCTGATCCAATATGTAGGGTTTACAAACGTGTATCCACATTCCGTTGGTGGTTTACAGCATCCAGACTGTGATAAAGATGAACAGCATTGCTTTATAATATTGAAAAGGCATTGAATTAATAGAATGGTGGAAAGAAAGTAATGAAACATACCTGTATGGGTGTTAGATGGGCATTGAAGAAATCCTGGGCCATACGGTAACTCTGGTTCAACTCAGCACAAACGCTTGTGGTGCTAAGACAGGCTTTGATCCGATCCCACTTATATGAACTTCTAACCCTCTGACGAAGCCAGCCAGAAAAGTCATCCAGATTATATTCCAAGTAGGCTCGGTTTGGCTCAAGGTGGCCTGAACCTCTGATGGTGACCATATAGATGAAAATGACCAAGCAAGCCAGCAGTATTATCAGGACAAGCATGGCTACAAGGTAAAAGACGAGCAGCCAGGGGATGCGCCAGAACGCTCCTACAAAGCCTGCTAGAGCCACAACCAGAATTAGAACACCCAGAATTATAACGGGCCATTGTAGGATCTTGACACAGGAGTTGTCTTGTTCATTTGCAAGCCAGATTCCGGTTCCAATGATTGGAATTGATAGAAGCATGGCGACAAAGTTGATAACTCCGATGACATTTTTTCTTAATGCCATGTTGTTTGAGAGGAATTTCCCCAAGATCTGGTATTGAACAGGGGAAAATTAAAGGAAATGGTTTGTGGAGTAAAGATATACGTTTGGAATAAACAAAAGCTAGATGAGTATTGAAGACACCTTTATCCCCACCTTTATATGTTCCTTTGGCCTTGGGGCTTGGATCCATGAATGCTACTAAAGCTATTAAACAATAAGTTTTGGGATGCGTTTTGGTCCTTGGGACATACCACTTTTTGAAAAGGAATAAGTTGTACAGGACAATAGGACAATGGATATGGAAGGAAAAAGAAACAAAAGAGATTTGTTGTCTGCAAGATTTGTATTTTCATCAAGGCAAAAAGAAGAAAAAGAAAACATAGAGGGATACAGATACTGTCATGTGCTGTCTCAAGATGCCAATCTTTTCTTTGGGCTCAATCAATACATTAACAATTCCTAATCACATGTTGATGTTAGAACCTGGGAGTGGGAAGTTGCTATACACCATTTGGGCAACCTGTCAATAAGGAGATGATGGTTTAAGATCTTGCTTACAATTGTTGAAAATCGTGGCCCTTTTCATTACTGTGACTTCCCTGATTTTCAAATCAACCAAAGGCAGAATGTGTGATGGAAAACTGGACATGAATGATGAGGTAAGGTAGTTGAGGGAGGCGGCATGAAAAGTGAAGTTGTTGCAAAAAAAGAGAGAAGGGCCATGATAGACCCAAAACAAAGACTTCAAAACATAAACTGATAAGAGCAATACAAACCTTGTAAATAAAATAAGATTCAATTCCAATGTGAAATTGTGGACCTAAAATCAGTGTGGTTGAAGTCAGACTCAAAATAATCTTGGATTTAACTGAAGAAGATAAGATGAATTTGGGCACTGACTTACATTTGTTGGTTGGTTGGGTTTCTCTGAAAGAATTTGGATGGCCCATTCGGAAGAAAACTGATCTCAGGCACAGCAGTTGGTATTGGGCTAGGGGCCATAGCCCCAAAAATCTTTCAAACAGGGAAACCTTATAAGGTGTAATGAGCATTTTATTAATTTTGAAACAAAAATTAAGATATATATATAACGATATAATTGTTTGCTGTTTAAACTATTCTATATTATAAAACATTATTTCTTAAATAAGAGATAAATTTTTTGAAATTAAAATTTTTTATTTAAAAATTTTTATTTTATAATTTCAAACAATTTATATTATACAACAATAAATTGACTACTAGCAGGCAGTATGTCAGCCATAAATTCCTCTGACATAGAGATCATAAATTCAGTGTTGAAAACAATGCAGTTGACGAGTTAAGTTGGTAGAGAGTTAGCAAAGCACATTCTCTGGGGTCGCTTCTATCTTTAATACAGGGAAAAAGTCATTGGAGAAGTCATCATATTTATGCAATAAAGAGCCCCACTTGGCTATGAAGTTATCGAGTATGGACTTTCCTTTTTGACTAATTTAATCTACTTTTCATTTAACTGGAATCTTATGCTCTCGTTCCTCTTCTTTAAAGATGAGAAAAAATATGAGAAGTCTAGGAAGGAATATATGGAAAATGGTAGAAAACTGATCATGGCCATGCAATAGTAGAATGAAGAGAAAGTGAAAATCAAGGAAATTGTAATGAGAGGAAAACTTTCTAAAAGAAATTTAGTCCCTTACTTCAATAGCAAGGGAAAGATAGGCACTTAGGGGACCTCTCAAGAGAGAAGATATGCTCTTCTCAAGTCGAATCTTAAGAAATTTACTGAGGCCCCCACAATCAACCACCATTTGATGCATTTTGATGAGAGTTTTTTTAGATAATCATGTTGCCGTCCCACAAATATTCCCCTTTTATATTCTCAATGCTCTCTTTTTTCTTACTGTGCAACATGTAGAGGCTATTGAGTCATGCCATGTACCCATTTAGAATTTACCCGGATGTGCACTGAGGCAGAAAACAGGGGTGGGATGGGAAAATATGGGATCAAATCATACTCTGGGTGGAGTATTACCATATGATCTAGTGTATTCAAGAATCAGGATTTATCCGGAAATACCCTGTTTGGCTGACTAGAAAAAGCTGGTTGGCGAGGTAAAAAAAAAAACCAAGAATGTTTAGTTCCAGAACTGGTATACCTAACTTGACAGCTATGTGAATAGATGGCAATTAAGAAGTGCAAGTACCATTTTTATTTTGCATGTAATATATAGACACTAGTTCCAAGTTCCAATAGCAGCTCGCCAACTAGCATGAAAAATAATAAAAAGCATTGATTACTTTATTGAATTCCCAACCAACATCATCTTCTTTAGTCAACAAACCATTATCACAATAAAAACATAGCTAAAGAAAGAAAAGGAGTAGAGCAAGAAAAGAAAAAGGAATACCCTGTAGGCTGTAGCAACCCCCTTTTTTCTGTGTCTTTGCTTCTCATGTAATTAAGCGCACTCCCTTTGGCTGCTTTTCCACCCCATATTGTCTCTCCACATGAACCTGTCACATTCTGTTCTTACTAGCATTCTCATACACAGAAATTAATTCTACAACTATAAATCCATCATATTCTTGTTTTTGAGGATTGAAAGAGAGTCATTTTCATGGTCTTGTCCTCTCTTCTTCCTTAGGAGGAAGGGAAATACTATGTAGGTACTTATTGTATTGAGGAAAATGGGGTCTATAGGAAACCCAAAACCCTGGGTGCCATACATGAACAGCAGAGACTGTTCTCAGGGCTTCTGCAGCATCTACTGCCCTCAATGGTGCTACATCATCTTCCCTCCTCCACCTCCTCTAGAATTTCCTGAGGATGATTCTAGCCCAAGTCTCTCTCCTCTTACTATTGCCATCATCGGCATCTTAGCCAGTGTTTTTCTTCTAGTAAGTTACTACGCAATTATATCCAAATACTGTGGCACTGTGGACTCCTCAAGAAGAAGAGAAAGCCACCAACAGATTGAAGAAACACATGACAATCACGACCCATCTCTCCACGAGCCATGGCAGACAAGGACAACCGGCTTGGATGAGGCTCTGATCAAGTCCATTACGGTTTGCAAGTACAAGAGTGGAGATGGGTTGATTGGAGAAACAGATTGCTCTGTTTGTCTCAGTGAATTCCAAGAAGATGAGAGCATAAGACTCCTCCCAAAATGTAGCCATGCTTTTCATGTTCATTGCATTGATACATGGCTTAAATCTCACTCCAATTGCCCTTTGTGTCGTGCCAACATAATCTTCATCACTTCTTCACCCCTTCAATTGCCTCCTCCGGCAACAGAAACTCCTCCGGTGAATGAATCTTCCAGCCATAATATTGGAAATGCAGCCGCCAACACAGAAAGGGGTCCGGAGGCGGAAAGGGTACTACAAAATGAGGCGAACATCGAAACGCCGAAAAGCCCATTTCGTGGTTTTAGAGATTCAGGGGACTTCGAGACTCGGGACACCATAATCGAAATTAGAGATGAAGGGTATCCACGGATGAGAAGATCGGTTTCCATGGATCATTGCTGGCTTTCCATTTCCGATGTTCTACAGATAAATCAAGTTGAAGACGACGGAGTAGGGGGTGCTGGACCGTCGAAACAATCATCGGAGGCGGGCAAGTCCAGCTACAGAAAGAGAATAAAGAGATCTTTCTCGAGTGGGAGATTCTTCATCACCAGGCAAGGAAGACTCAGAGACACAATGATTCCTCTCTGACTCTGATGGAACCAAGAAATAAAAATAAAAAACAAAATACTATTAGTATTTTTTTTTTCTTTTATAATTACATGTAAAATTTGAAAAATGATTTTTGGAGAGCTTTTGTGTAAATTTTTTTTTTTCATGTCATTAATGGGCTATTTTTAGGTTAGTAGATGGATAATACTATATGCATTAATTTATTTAATTAAATTTAAATTTTTAAAAGTTGTAAATAAAATTTATATAAATGACTTGTTTGTATATTGTTATTTTTCAAAAAAATTTTAATAATGATATAATTCTAATATCATGCAATATCAATTATGATATGTCATCTTATAAATATATGTATATAAAAAAATTGAGTATCAATCTATATTGTAAAATTTTATTGAAAAAACTAAAATATTTTAATTATTTTAAAGTAAAAATTAAGATATTTTAGTCTTTTTTATAGTATTTTATTAAAATAACATAATTTTAAAATATTTTTTACCTAATTTTTTATAAATCTAGCTAATAAATATTAATTTCAGATGTATATAATATAATATCATAAGTTGGACCACTAAAAGAAAAAAAAAATCCAATTATGAAATAAAGAAAAAATGCTTATCAATAATAAATATAAAAAAAATATCTTAAAATTATATTATTTTAATAAATTTTTATTAAAAAAATTAAAATATTTAAATTCAAAAGCAAAAAGAGACCTATTTTAGTATTTTATAATAATATAATTGTAATATTATATATATTTTTTTTTTCAAACCTAACTGATAAACACTACTCTTATTAAATATAATAACATGAATTCAGTTCCCTTTTAATCTGTTATATGTTATATGTCTATAGGCTGAGCCCAAAAGAGAACCATTGGCCCATTTTACCTATAACATTTTTCCTTGGACAAAAGTAAATCCGTCTCTAGAGGTCCATTAGGTTTGTTCCTTCTTGGGCTTACCCAGGTTATTATTACCCCCCTAAATGAACAAAACAAAACCCACAAATGACACTCAAGTTTTAAACCCTCTTTTTTTTTTCTTTTTCTTTTTTTTTACAGAATAAAATTCAGTAAATAGGAAAAAAAATACAGCCAAAGCTAATGGTCAAAGTAATGGCAATGGCAAATGTTCATAATATCAAAGGTGACTGTACGGTTTGCAGATTAGGTATGTTTATTTTGTTGTCTCTTTCCTACAGTTACA